TAGCTATTAACATGGCACCCAGGATTTTGATAGTATCATTTCTCAATTGTGGAAATACTGTAAGAGTGGAATGTTATGGTTGAGATCTTAAACACAGACAATTCAGGACATTTAAAAATATGGTTCCTGTAAAAATCACTTAGCTACGTGGCCAACCTGTGGCACATGTGCCACAAGTGGCATGGGCAGCCTCTGTGTAGGGCACAGAGATCAGAAAGGGGGCAGGCAGCACAGCAGCAGGTATGGTAGGAAGGAGAAAGCAGGGCAGCGGATTAGACATGGGAAGGGGATCAGTGGCTCTCAGGGAGGGAAGTCTGCCTTTCCAAAAAGTTTAGCCCCCACCACTGTAAAGAATGCGGTGTTCATTTTAATGCATTTATATTTTCATTTGTTTAAACTGCTACTGTGTTCTAAGTGTGCATTTCTGATGTTATTTTGCAGTTTCCACTGAGAATTACACCACAAGCTGCCATTGGGGAATGCTAGTAGCACTATTCCATTGACATAAGTAAAACTAAGAGGTTAATACCACTTCTTGCAGTGGATACTAATAATATTTTCAGCTTTAGACAACACAAATATGTATACAAGATTATATGCAAGGAAGTATTCACTACTAAGGCTTTAAATGTTAGGATAGCCAAATCTGAAATAGAACTTGAGTTGCTAATGTGGCCAAGACATAAAGGAGAAGGGACTAAAAAGAGGTTTAGTTTGGACAGGGATAAACACAGGGTAGAATGTTTTGGAATCATTTGTCTGAGAAGAAGTAGTGGATTTATCTCGGGGGAGGGGGGGCAAATGGAAATTATTATTAGCAACCAGTGGCAACACTCAAGGGGGTGCACATGCACTCCTTGAGAGTGCTGGTGCACCCCATCAGCCAGTGTTCCCGGGTGGGGGGGGGAGGCAGGTGAGAGCACTGGTGCCCCCCCCCCCCGACCACCAGAAGTGGTCCCTCCATGGCCGATCCCACTGACCCAGAAGTGGCAGTGGCATGCTGCTGCCAGTTGTGGGTCAGCAGGATCAGCTGCCACAGGGGAACCCCTCCCCATTGGCAGAATCGGCCATGGGGGACCCCCCCACCCTGGCCTGCAGGATTGGCCACGGGGGGGCCCCCTGGTCTCTGTCCAGCCGGGAGGCAAGTGCCCCCCCCAACTCAGGTGGTACCAATCACTCATGTTAGCAACTGAAGGGGTGAAAATCTGAGACAGAGGACCATCCAGAATAATCTTGAGGGTAGAGTTGATATAAGTATAAAAGGGAAGAATTTTCTGTAGACCAGGCAGATGCTATGGCACTCATTTTCCTTTATGCACCATTTTTGGCACTTAGGTACAATTTCAGATTCTGCACTTCGACTAAACAGATTCACCCTACATAGCTGTGCATTTGCTTGCCAAAAATAAAATGGTGGTGATAGAGTTATCTCCCTATTTTAGTCCAATAGTTTAGTGGTTAGAGTACCACCCAAGAAGTAGGAAATCTATATTCTAAGCTGCTGTCACTCAGAGAGGGGTTGAATCTTCATCTGCTGCTTCTCAGTATAGTGTTGTAACCACCAGAGCACAGTTTAGGCATTACTCTAGTCCCCTTGTCAACCCTGCTTTTGAAGCTGAACCACTGTGCCTTGTATTTAATATTCATTGGATAAAATGAACCGTGGGAAACCTTCTGCCAAATTGGTAACAAGCAACTAGGCTAGAACTCATGGGCACCTTCCATCTACAGCAACTTCATCCCACAATGCTGCATAACCTTTGGTTGTTTTCTCCTGAATTCTTGTGGGGCCCTGGCAAGTGGCTGCAGGCCAGGCAGCCACTTGCTGTGGTAGAGGCACACAAGCAGTAGAAGGCCAGGCAGCTGAAGGGCAACTAACTGCTGTGTTGCACAGCTTTCACTCACCTGCTTGCTGCCAAGGGTCATTTTCACAGGGGCCCCCAATTTCACAGTAGGCCACGCTCACAGCTGGCCACACCCCAATTTCTGGTAGCCCAGATGGAGCAGCTCTGCAAGCCAGATCAGGTGTGCAGGCCATGTGTTTGACACCCTTGGATTAAGCAGACAATTTCAAATAAAAGACTTAAGAGGGGTCTGGTCAATGCTCACCTGTGGCTTGGTGATTACAGCACTATTCTCACTGGAGATAAGTCCTTAAAACAAAGGTCTACCTCACTTCTGGTGAAGTGCCCTTACCCCCAGCTTACTGGACTCTAATATGAGAAGGTGGTCCTTTTCTTCCTTCCTCTCCTACTACTAGACCAGCTACAATTTCAGGTCCTAAGAAGCCTTAGACATATAAATACGACTCTACTGAATAGACTTAGTTGTCATTTGGACAGTTCCACATGGAAAGCATACCTTGAAGAGAAACACAAACTATAAGTACGAGCCAAAAATGGCCCTGCAACTACATCTGAAACAGAAATGAGTCCACAGCTAAGCAATGAGTTTACACTGCAATGCAACAGCCAACTATTTTACTCACTTCCCCAAGTAAGCAAGCCAGATCATAGCTCAGTTATTATACTGGATGTCAATCACCAGGAAGTGATTCAACTCAGGAAGTGGCAAAAATGTGGGAATAGAGCAGTTTTATTCCTTTAATAAAAGATTTGGTGTTTCCTAAATTATGATGCTGAGATTAGACAGCCATAATCACTACTTTTATAACAATATGCAACACAATTAAACATTTCTAGATTAGTTCATTTTTCTTATATGCTTTGTTTCATTTAAATGACACTGGTTTTACTATTAATTAAAAATTGGTAACTGTTGTTTTTAAATCCTAATCTTACCAATTAACCTACCATAGTCAGAACTGATTACATTTATGCTAAGTTCCTCTGATTTGAGAGCTCTTTTCACTTCAATTTTTTTAGTCCAATTTCCAGTTTTCAGCAAAGCCAAATCCCTGTAACAATATTTGTAAACGGATATTAAGCATACACAATGGAATATATAGAGGTAGCTGTTTGTATACGGATATTAAGCATACACAATGGAATATACAGAGGTAACCATTTTATTAAAATAATTACAGTTGTGATAGTAGTAGTGTGGCATTGAAAGAGACTGTAGACCAGTCTTGATTCTGTTGGTGATATTCAGAATGATATAATATATAAAAGAGAACTTCTAACCTGCATATTGGATTATCATTTAGTAACTAAATGACACTATGGATGAGGCTCACGTGACATCACTGAAGTGGCTGCATGAAGCTAGACCTCCCAGGGGCAGAGACAGCACAGTCCATTGGTGATCCCCGACCTTCTTGACTCCCCAGAAGTATTTACCCTATTTATATAATGCATACCACACACATAAGGGGGGTGGGGGGCAATTTGAAAAGTTACTTTCCAAGAAACAACTTGCTGGAAGATCATACAGAACAGCTTACAGGGGCTGCAGAGTAAAAGATGGCTGCTGCAAGGGGAGAAAGAAAAGGTAGAACAGAGAAGGAGAAAGACAAATATGCCCTTTGACGAGAGAGGACTTTGATGAGTTAATCTCAGAAATCAGAGCTTTAAAATATTTTATGGAGGCACAGTCTGAGAAAATCAAAGCTGAAATAAAACAAATCAGAGGCTGGGTTGCAGAATTGGAGATAAAGGTGGAAGGCAACCTGCAATTAGCTATACATCTGAAAAATAAAATTAAGATGTGTGAAAACAAAGAAAAGGAGCTTGCAGGGGAAAAAAAATAGATTATAGTAAATGAGAGAAGAAATAATATAAAAAATAAAAGGAATCCCAGAAGGTATTCAGAAGGGAGATTCAGCTGAATATTTAAAGCAGTTATTCTACTTCTTCCTACAGCTGAAAAAAAAACAACAACACACCAGTCCTGGTAGAGAGAGCACACAGAGCTCACTGCACTCCCAATTCAAACAAACCAACAGACATGGTAAATTTGTGCTCTGTTGTGAACAAGAGGAGCAATTCTGAAGGTTAGAGGTCCTACTCTATGAGGATATAAAATGCAAGTGTTTCAAGACTTGTCACAGGCAACATTAAGGAGAATGAAAGAAATGAAGATGCAGACAGAAGTGACAACTTTCGTGCAATCTGGACCCTGAAAGTGCTCTACAGCTGTGACCAAACACAAGTGCATGGCTTCAGAGGGCTTTATAAGGGGCTAATCCCACAACAATCTGAACCAAAATGGAGCGCCTTCAGTAACTCATGTCTGTATGCACCGTGAGCAGGGCTGGGCTGATGCAGCTCGGCCCTACTCCCAGTGCTGTCTTCAGAATGGGAGAGAGAGAAGGGAGTGGCAGGAGTTAGGTCTGAGGTTTTTTCAGATGGTGCTGGATGGTGGGGTGGGTGGATTAAAGCCCCTCCCCACTGAGGTTGGGGGGCTCTAATCCACCCACCCCACCTACCAGCACCAGCTAGGCAACCCCAGAACTAATCCCCCTCTCCCCCATTCTGAAAAAAGTGCCAGGGCAAATTCTTTTGCTGTTTTCAGTGCCAGGGCTGGGAGAGGGGAGAGGTGTTGCTAGAGAAGTGCTATGAGTTACAATGAGGAGCTGCTCTTCTGTCTGTGCCTTGAATGAAAGTATATGACCTCTCAGAGAAGCAAATACAAGATATAGATAGGGTTTTCCTTTTAGACTTATCTTTACACATACACAACAGCAGTATATTATAAAGGAGGATAAATAAGGTCTTAAGATCCCTGAGTAGCTAACCTTAATTAGCTACTCAGGGATCTCCTAGGAAGGGAGCACCCTGGAATCTTATACAGACAGCAAAAGAAAAGCAACACCATAATACAGAATGGCAAACTCTTAAGCCCAGGAGAATGAAGGTATCTAAGTACAAGGACAAAAAAGACTTAGAGAAGTCACAAAACTAGAGGCATTCAAGAAGATTTGAGTGGGACTGAATAATACGAGAGAGAAAAAAAATTAAACATGGAAGGGAGAATACCATAGGGGGGAAACATAAAATAGCAATGTTTGGAACCACAATAGTTAGGAAAATGAGGAAGTAAAGACACATTCTAGGGTTAAAAGCAAAGAGTAAGGGAGGATATTAAATGAATGATGGAGAGGTGTATTAAATATAGTGTAACATGGGAAAAGACTGGTGGAAGGCCTGAAATTTTCTGATACTCCCTTGAGAAAACAGTATCTGATGAACTATGATATAATGCCATGATTCCTCTTGGGTGGGGGTCAGGAACCTCCCAAATAGAAGTTCACTACTCAGGACTGGAGGAGTTAAATATTCTTCTTTATGCGAGGCTTAGGGTGAATCTCCACATTTTAGGAAAGGGGTAAAGAACAAAGAAATAAGGATCCTTTGGGGATCCAGAAGGCATGGGAATTGGACTGGATAAATAATGAGGGCGCGGAGAACAGGGGAGGAAGGGGCTAAAGGGCAAAAGACATAAAAATAAGGATTGTTTGGGGATCCAAAATTGGACTGGGTAAATTATGAGGGAAAGGACCAGGGGTTTAGTAACTAAAGATATTTTTAGGGAAATATGTATAAAAGAATACACAGGAAAACAATACTGCAGGTATTTAAGTAGACCAAATATAATCTAGATATGTTTTATTTTTTATATTATAAGGAGGTGAAGGCAGTTGCACCCAACATAATATTTGAATATTATTTAACAGCCAGCAAGCCAGTGTTCTTATTTAGATTGACTATTAATAACTGTTGTATTTGCATGTATAAACATTACATTGATAGTACAAATTTTAATGTATAAGAACTGTAATATATTTCTTTTGTTGATAAGTAATAACTCTAATCTCATGCAATTCCTGTATATTACTCCTGTGTTAGGATTTTGTTTCTATATTTATTTGTTTGTTTTTTTAAAAAACACTGTGGACACACTTTTTACCACTTCGTTTTAGTACAAATAGCTGCATGAAGCACAGAGCAAAACAGAACTGATTTTCTTTATGGATGTTATAAATATTATATTATGAAAGTTTTAAGCAACCTGACTTACATAATTTTTTGTTTAAAAATGACTTCATTATCAGCACTTCCTATTATCAAGGTTACATAATGGAAATCTGGTGCTGTTCTCCTTGTCTGCAGTTGTTTGAAGTTTGTTAATATGACAGTCACTAAGATTTCAGCCACTGTATCACTGTATTTTGAAACCTAGAAAAATATATAAGATATAACCAGTAAAAATATTAAATAACCCACTTCATACATCTGTATACAATAGGAGGTCTGTTCAAAAAGTACTGAGACTGATGCTGTAGGAAACAAAATATTTTATTTACAGGGGCTTCGGCTTAATCTCCTTTGAAATATGCTCCTTCTGCTGCCACACACTTCTCCCAGTGTTTCTGCCATTGTTGGAAGCAGCTCTGATAAGCAATTTGTGGAATCACTAAAAGCTGCTCAGTCACATTTTGTTTTATAGTTTCCACATCACATTTTCTTCCTTTTAAGGTTTTCTTTAGTTGAGGGAAGAGAAAAAAGTTACATGGGGCCATATCAGGTGAGTATGGAGGCTGCAGCACTTGTGAAGCAATTTTTAGTCAAATTTTAGCCAAGCATCGTATCCCACAAGCTGTGCTCAGTGGGCAGGCACGTTGTTGTGGTGAAGTACCTGAGTCAGACACCCACTTTTCTGGTTATTTCTCTAGTCATTTCATTCCAAAACTGCCGGATAGAATTGAATTACATGAACCAACAGAAATTCTAAATTCTTCTGCTATCTCTTGGGCAGTCCATCACCTATCATTTTGATCCAAACTGTGAACTGCTGCCACATTTTCATCATTTCATGATGTTGAAGGGTGTCCCAGAACACTCATCATTTTCGACCGATGATCATCCTTCATTAAACTGACTATACCATTCAAAAACTCTTGCATGGCTCATAGTGTCATCACCAAATGCTAGTTTAAGGAATTCAAATTTTTCACTTGCCATTTCCCTAGTTTTCATGCAAAATTTAATGCATGCGCGTTGTTCTGGACACTCTGACATAATGAAAGGGGACATGAGACACAAACGATCATACTTCAACTGTTGGCCACAGAAAACTGGGGAAACACCATGAACTGCGAGCCTGCCCAGAGGAGTCCCATCATGCCCAGACATGTTCAGCAAAGGCACACACCCCCACCCAATACTTTGCATCACAAATACACATTCAGTCTCGATACTTTTTGAACAGATCTTGTATACATACACACATGCTTAATTTGGACAGGTGCAGTTTCAATTGAGCAAATAGCTGTTTTGCCTCTATAATCTATGGTGTATTTGTTAAGTTTCACTGAATGTTCAGAATTTAAGATCATCTTTGACCAGAGGTGTAGAGTAACACAGCACAGAAAAAACTTTGTCTACTGTAAGGGGAGAATGGAAATCTGATTCTACAAGGGATGCACAGCAAGGAAGCTATAGAGACTTCATGATTCATTTTTAAAAGGAAAACTTTTAACAACTCAGGCAGCTCTTTGTGAAACATTTATCACTATTAAATCTGCCTTCTGAAAAACACATTTAGAGTCACTAACAAGTTATTTAAGGACTTGTGCCAATCTACAAAATAAAAGACTAAAATTGATCATTATTACAATAATAGTCATAACACTTCAAACTTATTTGGAAGCTTTTACTTCAAAGTACTTTCCAAATGTAACTAATTTTCACAAGAATTCTGAAAGTCAGTGAAGCTTTGTTGTCCACAGTTTGCAGATGAAAAAAATCAAAGCAGAATGACTACAGGATTTGTCCAAGGGCAGAGTGAGTGAGCATCAGAACATGTTTCCCATGCTTGCAGTCAAATCACTAGAACATGCCTCTCCTTTGACGTGCACAGTATCAATTAGCTGCGTGTTACTAATCTATTTTTTTCTTTAGGTTTGATACACAAAAGTATAAAAGTTGCTAAATAAGTTCTCACTGAACTTGTTTTGCCCATAGCTTTTGTAATTAAGATGGAAGGTCTCAGCCTTAGAGATGTCTACACAGCAAGCTAACTGAACCAGACAGAAGAACCCTCAAATATACCATGCTATACTGTGTAAGCTATGTTTGCACAGTGCTGCAGATGGGATAATTAGCATTGCTGAATGTCAGTGCCAACTAGTCTACCCTTGTGCTACTTGGTCCACCCCCAGTACCACGTAAACACAGCAACAGTTTCCAGTTCAGGAGGCACATTATGCAGAGCAGTGTAATGTATCTGAAGGCACCACTACCTGGCATGGTAAGAAAGGATTTTCTTTACATATTCACAGTTACAGGTAGTGTTATCAACTTTTGTGTTTTTAATATAAAAGCCTGCCAGTGAGCAGAAGCAGTCAGAAAAGAAAAGAGCAGATGTACTGTGGAGAACAACTGATTCAGGATATCCTTCCTTTATGTCTTTTACACTAAAATTTTCTGAAGTGTGGATGCCAAGGAGTAGCTGGGGCCACAGAAGACTCCCACTTTCAGAAGACTGAATAAGTGTTTATCAGTTAATGAAGTAATATTTTATTGAAATGATTCATTTTTACCATGCTAACATAAATACAAAGCAAAGCAAACATAAATGCATTATCCAATAAATTTAAGAGAAGCAATTACCTGCTCAATATCAAGTGCATATTTTGGAAGGTGTATCACAGACTCTTTTATTTGGTTTCCAAAAGGAGGGTGTCTGTTTAAGATCTGTAAATATTTAGTTTATATAATTTATAATAGTACAGAAATCAGCAAAGTGAATTTTGAATTAAGATTTCTAATAAGAGAATGCAAATGAACAGTTACCAACAGCTCTTGATCACTTGCAACTACCTTGACGGCTCACTTGCAACTACCTTGACATCAAGGAAGTTATAAGTGTTCAATATCTTTTAAAGATTTGGCCTATGATCTGCAAATACTATAGCTAAACTTAAAACATGTTATTTTTCAAGACAATATAATACCTTTAAATGCTGTATTCCGAGGCAGTTACTACTTCAAGTTACCAGGAAAGATTTGACATGAAGAAAATACCAGTTGCTCAATACTATACAAAACCTGATGAGCCACTAGCAGATTAGTCTCTCAAAAAATACCTTTGACCTCAATCCTCAACACAAAGAATCTGGAACTTATTATACTCCTTACGTCTTCCCTCCCCACCCCACCCCCAAAAGAAGAAACTGTTAATAAAGACTGCCCCATTAAACAGATCAGACCACAGACAACTGTATCTGATAAATCAAACTGATCAGAGTAAGAATAAAACCCCACAAATCAGGAATAAGGTCAGTTTGAAAGAAAAAATTCATAGTATGATGGTGTTTTAGAAATAATGGCAAAATAGCTGCCTATGATGTTTGTCTGGAGCAAAGCAGATGTCACGGGGCTGGGTCCTAGGAGCGGCCGTGATGTCTCCTAGTGCCCCCCAAGTTGGTGTCAATGCACCCTCACCATCTCGCCTGCCACATCTTTGAAGTTATTAGTGTTAAGGGAGGCTGCCTTTTCGTCCTCTTTGACACAGCACCCCTGATGTATCCAAGTCTGTGCTCCATCTTAGATGACTCCATGCACTAAAGCCTTAGGGGTTACGCATGGCTCCAACCACCCCTGTACCACGCCCCAAGCCTCGCAGATGTATCGGATGTTGCTTGGTCAATCCTATCTGCGCCCTCTGGCTCCTCTCGTAATTGCCCGCACCCTCACGGGTTCCCTGGGCTCGTCTCAATTGCCCATACCCTCCCGCGGATGCTCCCTGGCCTCTCTCGCGGCCGTGCCCACACTGCGGCCTCTCACAATTAGGGCTCAGGTGGCCGTAGCTGTGCCTGGCCCTCAAATCCCCTCCTTGAGTCTTAAGCGAGCGCCCTCGGGGGCTTCTCACCTGCGCCCGCTCTGGGGGCTTCTCACAACTGGGGCTCAGGTGGCCATAGCTGTGCCTGGCCCCTAAATCCCCTCCTCGGGTCTTAAGTTCCTGTAGGGCTCAGGCAGCCTCGACCTTACCTGGCCCCCAATCCTCTGCGCCCTCTCTCAGGGCTGGGGTCAGTGCACCCCTGAACGTTGTGCCCTCTCAGGCACCGGGGTCCCCACACTACTGTGGAGCCCCTGTGAGGCCTCCTCCAACCCCTATTAGCCTTACCTGGTCCTCTGGTCTTATAAAACTACGAACAGAAACTCAGGCTCCTGGGCTACAAACGTAAACTCTAAGCCAACTGGCTAACCATCACTCAATTCCCTACCAGGGCTTCCTCCACCCGGTATCCTCAAGCAGAAGCTGCTCAGGCCATCAGGCTTCTCTACTCTGCTTACTCCATCAGAGCTCCTTCTTCCTCAGCTGCTAGTGGGGAACTGCCTTCCTGGCCTCAGCCTGGATCACCTTTATATAGGTCAGGCCCTGCCCCCTTCCAGTCAGCTGACAAACTGCAGTTGCCCCGGCAACCAGCACCTGTACCTCTTTGTAGGAGCAGGGTAGTGAAGTGCCCTGTGACACACCTCCCCCCTTAAGTTCAAGACTCACTAGGAGCAGGGTACTGAAGTGCCCTGCGACACTAGAAAACAGTATAGCAGCAGAGAACACTTATGGCAGCATTGCTGAGTGCACCCAGCCCTTCTGACTAAGTAGGAAAGTGATGTGGTCCCAATAAATGGTCATTGCACACACAGAATGGTTTTATTTTGAAATTGCTGCTAGTTTTTGAAATGCACTTATACAGGCAACCCCCACTTAACACTGTTTCACTTAGCACTATTTCACTATAACACTCATTTTAAATTGATACCTGATTTCACTTAGTGCTCAGTGAGTTTCATTATAAACACTCATGGTCACCATCTTGGGTCATTAAAAATAACTGCAGTCATCATCTGGGGTCATCAAATACTTTTGGTTTTGCTTAACACTCGTGTCGCTTAACAGAACCAATTAAGAGCACTAAGCGGGGGTTGCCTGTATATGTACTGAAGTGTAATCATAACTTGAGTCCTATATAAGTCTATCTTCTACGGACACTCTGCAGGGCATTTGTATAAGGCTGAATTTTTGGAATATTTCAGACAAAACTGTTTAGCTCTTTTTAAGAAAAGGACAGAGAAAAATGCATCATCATCATGTTATTTTTTTCTTCCCACTTCTTAATTCAGTGCACAAGAGGCAACTAAATCAGGATTATGTAGTGAAGGAGACTTATCTGCAGGAGCTTTGCTTTATTTATGTAGAAGATGGAAGATGTGTACTAAGAGGCAGGAGTCTGCAGAAAGAGAAAAAACAGACTGATGGCTGAGATAGAATCCCAGGGCCTTTGCACACGCCATATTTTTTGCCCTCTCTTGCGCTGCAGCTGCATGCCTGTTTGCACGAGTGGGATTTCTGGATGTTTTACAAGTCTTTCTGGTGCATTAAACTACAACTCCTCAGACGTAGTTTAGTTTGGCTTGCCAGGAATTAAAGTGTCATGTCCAGGGATTCGTTGTATGCAAACACAAAGGCACTCGAAGACATGTAAATGACCCTCTTTTTCCACCAGATGGCTCTGCAGCTTTTTTGTAATTCACCCCTTTTGTCCACCAGATGCCGCTTTGATTTGCAGACTGGAGACAAAAGAGGACACCTATAATTTGCTTGTATTTTTGTGTAATTATTTTCAGATACCAGGTAAGCAGCTCAGCCTGACATGAATCAATCTTCTGCTCACCTACCTGTGAGACACCCATGCCTTCCCATTCCCCTGCCCCAAACCTGTAATCATATCTAAATGGACAGAGCCTTTTGCTCATATGAACTCTAGAGTAATATAGCAGGATTCTTACACAATACAACTGCAAGCTCAGGACTTATCTACTGATTTAGTTCCTACTGGCTAACCCAAGAAGGGTGAGAAATGGAGCAGCTGTAGTTAAATTAATTAATTCTGTATATAAAGAACTGGTTCAAAAACAGCCAGATTAATGATTACAAATGTGTTTAAATTAGAAATTAGAAAACATTTAAGTCACCACGCTGACCTGCAGTTTTTGACCAGAATTACTGTTTCTACCAGATTTTCCCATTTCAGGTGCATCTGTGAACAATGTTCCTTTAAAGGGGTTGTGCCACAAGACATGAGGTTCCAGCCTGGAACATGAGGACATGAAGTTTCACACTTATCCCTCCCTTCCCTACTCCCTCCTATCTCTACTCACTGTCTTTCACACTTCCACCTATTTACATTTTTACAGGTTCTTTTCTATCATCTCAGAACAGCAGCAGTCTTGAAGATGGTAATATGTCTGAAAGCTTGCAAAGAATTTTTTTCCAACTATTTAGTTGGTTTAATAGAAGATATCACATCTACCCAAAAGAACCTTGCCTGCCTATGTCTTTGTCACAAGACTCATGCACTGAGTCTGTTATGATAAAGGTTATAATGTAGAGTTGTTCCCTACGTGTGTATGTGTGCAACCTGCATGGGCAGCAGGCCGGGGGTGGGGGCAGGGGCTGTGGGCTGGGGCACTGGCCGGGCT